ATAAAAAAATGTATGATCTTGAATTGAGGGAAAATCGGTGTCCTGTCTACTTGGCTCTCTCCAATTTCTCTCATATTTCATATAATAATAATAATAATAATCGATCGTCCTAAATATATCTTGACCTTTTTCATCTCTCGCATTAATGTAAAAGGAACATTACGAGCAACAAAATATCGCCATTATTTTCTTTCCTTCTACAATATTTTATTCTGATAAAATGATTATATGCGAAATGGATTGAATGCGTTTGTAGGTAATTTGAATTATTTCTTACTCTATTTCTATTATTCCAATGAATTTTCTCATATTGTTATTAAGAAAAGCCTTTCGTCGATGTTAAAAAATCGATGATTCATTTTATTAAACGCGTTGCTAATGAATCATCGCATTGGTCGCCGGGATTTCTCGAAAACAACAAAATCTCACTCGAATTACTTTCCCGTTCGATAAGAAGATGAATCTTGAATACCAATTATGAATCATTAGATATCTTTAATTATACCTTTTGTTCTTTTCTTTTTTCTTATATCAAATTATCTTCAATTAGAAAAAATGTGTCGCGAAAATACTTCTAGAAGAAATGAATAAAGTAAATATTAGAACCTTTTGAAATTGATTGATTGAAAAATAAAAGGAATACAATTAGTCGACAAAATGAATCGTATTGTTTAGATGTAATGAAAATATAGAAAGAAAAGTTGTTGCAATCTATCGAATAGCACAAGGATACCGACGACGGTAAACGGTGTTTCAAATTACCGATATGGTCACTACTGGTTTCCCTCGAAAGTGATACTACGCGACGACAGAGACAATCGATATTACTTACACTCTCTCTCTCTCTCTCTCTCTCTCTCTCTATTTCTATAAATAAATATACGGAGATATATATGCTGTTGCGATGAAGTCACGATTTGTAAAAAAAGACAAAAAACATGCGATTAGTGACCTTACGAACGATTACGAAGAACGACCTAACGACTAAAGTAAAGAGCTTCGTCTCGATAACACGTGGTGATATGATAACAAGCCTATCTCTCTCTCTCTCGCTACTGTTTTTAAATGTACAGATATGTATATAAAAATCAGGCAACGAGAAAAAAAAACACGTACGACCTTTTTTTTCCTTTTGATACATTGTAAACACGAAGAGAGATATTTTCAAGTCTGAACCTTGTATTCTTATTTATAGACGATTCTAATGTAAACCACAAAAATATATCTTTGGATAACATAATCGCAAATAACACACATAGATCATACTCGAGAATTGCGTGTATCGACAAAAATCAAAACACTATTTTTACATGAAAAAACTTTGGAGAAAATGAGTCGAGATTAATCTTGGCATCGCGCCAAAATAAAAGGAAAAAGATAAGCGAACGATTTTTCGTTTCACGTCGTCGACCGATAGAGATAAATGCATTCCGAAATGCATGAGCCGCCTGAAGAAAGATAGGAAAAAATAAGAAAGTAAAGTAGCACGTGCGAGATCTTTGCTAGTGTATTATGGATCGAGGACGAATACCAAGCTCAAACGCACGTTTCTTTTCCCCCTTCCAGCATGCAACCCTGCCGCCAAGTTTTTTGCATACTCCTGTCAAACAAATTTTTCCCTTTCGACTAAATTCATTAATTAAAACTAAACTAAAACTAAACTAAAAGAAGCAAAAACAAATAATTCGATATAAATTGATTTTCGAATTCTTCTAGACACTGTTTATAACATCTTTCCTATCTTTCTCTTTGTCTTTAAATTGAAATCCGCTTTTCAAGAATCATCCCATATTAGTAGACTTAGCTTTTTATTTTACGGCTATTGTTACAGAGAAAAATCGTCACTAAGGGAGAATAGTAAAAGGGCGTGAGAAGAAAAAAAAAAAAAAGAAGAAAGGTAGAAAAGGGAGCAATTTTGATCGAGGCGAGACAATGATACCATCTTTTTTCCATTCCGCCATTATAAATCTAAACAGAGTCTTTTCTCTCGTGGGGTGCTTTTCCCTTTGAAACGAATGCTTTTATGAAGAAGCCCTACACACACACACACACGTTTCTCAACGAAGAGGATAACGCTGCAATTGGAGCAAACTTTTACAACCCTTTATATGTATGCATCTATGTATGAGTAAGATAGAGATGATAGAAGTAAGCAGATAAAACGAGGTCGAATCGAATTCGTAGGAGAAATTTAAATCCTAGTTATATGCCAGACCGAAATACTTTTTTAAACTCCATTCCATACTCGAGAGAGTCTTCCTTATGTAACGTTTTTCAACCATTTTCTTTTTTTCTTTCGATAAATGATCGCGCACTAATCAGTGCCTATTTTAATTCAATCATTCCAATCTATCATTCCATTTCTATTCAAAATTGTTTAATTAATTAATAAATAAAAAATGTGCTATTCAAAATTAATTAATTTTTTTTACAAGTTTTTCAAACATATTTTTCAAAGATTATCAATCATTTCTGAACTTACAATTTAGGATTCTGTATAGAAAAATTAGCCTTAACGATATTTTGAAAAATATCTTTATTTATCATGAAATATGTAATTAATCAAACAAGTAGATATAAAATATGAATATTCTTTTTAAATAGAAAACCTATACTTATGTTAGATAACTGTACGATATTATAATGGAAACGACAAAAGTCGACCTATAAAAGAAGGTAAAGATAGAAATTAGGGAATTATCCAGATACCTACTTACATAGATAGATAAAAGGAAAATAATAAATACACGATAGTCGCTTCGTGACTATCGTCACGTATCGTCATCGGAATGGTTGCTGTTATGTACCTAAGCTAAACTTTAAATGGACCAACCCTTTTTTTTTTTAAACACAACTAAAGGGAAGAGATTCTTTTAGATATAATTATATGTGACAGGTAGAAAACATTTAATCTCAGCTGATCTCGCGTTATTGTCGTCTAGACGTTAAAAAATCTAGCCTTGACATTCTTCATTCGACTACGTACTAAGTTTTTGATCTCTCTCTCTCTCTCTCTCTCTCTCTCTCTCTCTCTCTCTCTCTCTCTCTCTCTCTTCTTATACGTATGAACGCGTGAATGACGTATTTCANTCTCTCTCTCTCTCTCTCTCTCTCTCTCTCTCTCTCTCTCTCTCTCGTCTTATACGTATGAACGCGTGAATGACGTATTTCAATAAATAACAAATTGTCGTCAAATTTCCTTACTGTAATATCATACGTAACTGTTTTGAAATTGTCCGATTAATTAGCAAACATATCATAGACGTACATATGTATGTATGTACGCGATATAGAAGATGATCGATTTATAGAAAATAAAAAAAGACTAAGAAATAATAATGGAATACGCGAGTCGTAAAGATTTTGAACGATTACCATATGCTATAGCACGGAATCCCGGTCAACAATCGCGGATACGGTCTCCTTCGTATATTTCGCGTATTTCTGTGAATCAGATCAACTTAGGGAGTATATTTATTTAAAAAAAGAACAAACAAATTTCTAACTCAAACATTCCCAGATTTCGAGAAAGACAAATTTAGTGAAAATCTACTTTTTGCATGCAAAGAAAAATATTGATTAGACAACAGCTAAAATAAAATACAAGCTGAATACGCACTTATGCGAAGAAACAGAGGATTAATAAAAAAACATTATGCCTGCCTAGTATGAGTCAGAATGAGAGAGTCACACGCGAGATGCAACACGAATGCGAATTCCACGATTTGCTTTTACGAAGCGAAACGCGAGACGACCTCAAATTAGACGACGCCTAATCTCGAATTTAGAAGCTTCTTCTTCGTCGTCGTCGTCGTCGTCGTCGTCGTCGTCGCCACCACACATACGAACAAGATATTACCGAGTTCATTCCTTTTAATATGTCCATTTCAAAATAATAATATTCAAGAAAATAACTCTTCTTATTCTTCGCCCCACTCTCTTTCGATATTTTTTTGTTTTATTTTTACATTGACCCAGCACGCGAACTCCTTCGCGATATCGATCGGTTTCGAAGCTAACATAAATGCAACAACATAAGTTCACTCTTCTTATACTTATGACTGAAAAAAAATAAATATGTAATATATATGTGGTAACACGGAAAAAATAAATTCAAAGATATATGATATATTCTGCATGAGATATTAATTTATAAATTAAACAGTAAACTTAAGGATGGTTTACGTATACCTGTCAAAACTATAGCAAATTAAATAGCAATTTGTTATTCAAGAAATTCATATTTGCTAAAACTGTAAATCCAAATTTAAAACTGGTTGTCACATTTAGTATTAATAAGGCCAAGTTTTTCTAACCTAATAAACTACAAAATAATATAAAATTAATTAAATGCAATAAGTGTTCCTGAATTTTGAATTTTGTTAACTTGACCTAATTGTTTTTCAATAGAGTTTCTATAAATTAAAATATATCGATTATATTATTCTCATTAATGATATGAGAGTAAATGAAGAAATTAAAAAATTTAGCAAGAGATCGATCGATGTCCAAAAGAGAGAGAGAGAGAGAGAGAGAGAGAGAGAGAGAGAGAGAGAGAGTACCATGGTAATCAGCTAAAAATAGTAAGCTTCCGCTTTTATTCTCTCTAATACGTCTTCTTGTATCTGAAGCATGAAAATACACACACATATATATACACGCATGTATAGAAGTGTGTGTGTGTGTAAGGCAGATTGAATTTCAAGAGAAAATATCAATTCAAAATGATTTGCAGATTTATCTCTAACCAGACTAAACAAATAAATATAAGAAACAATAAATTTGACAAAATGAAATAAAAAAGTGAGCTAGAAAAAAGGAATATTTGAAAGTGTTAAAATTCGACACAGTAGAATACAAAATGGCATCTGTTTGTAATATTTCCGATCAAGTTCGAAAGCAGGAAAAGATAGAGGTAAAGAATTCCGACGTTACACGAAGGTTAACGGAAGGGGAAATAGAAAGAATAAAAGTAAAAAAATATATTAGAATGTTCTTACCCTTAGCTCTGCGAGCCAGATGCGAAATATTTTGTCTGAGAACTTTAAGCCACATCTTGGCGCCTGTTTCCTTGTTTTCTAAATTCGAGGCAGGCAAGGACGATTTCCTGCGAGTTCGGCGTTTAATTGGTATTGTTGAAGCTTCCCTCTTAGGGGGAGGAAGCATAAGAAAACAGGATGCCACATGCCCTTCCACTTTGATCACAGTTTATAACGTATTTTCAAAAGAAAAAGTCTAACAATAAGTCTGCTTTTTTTCTTTTAAATTTTTCTCTCTTTCCAAGTGAACACTCGTAAATATATTACTTTCCAAAAATAAGGATCGATCGGTAATTCCTTAATATATCGAGTTAATATCGAGTTAATATCGAGTTAATATCGAAATTACGTAACGAGACGAATGCTCTTAAATGAGGAAATATTGAAAAAAAATATGAAAACGAGAACGTTCTTCACAGATGAAATATCGTAGCAAGACAAACACTAAAAGCGGGGATACGCATGGCTTTTATACACGTTCGTTGGATCACGTAGGCACACGTTCGCACAGTTGAGTGAGCCTTCCCACAATAACTACTATCCAAGCACGATGATATCGGCCCCCGAGCCTTGAACGAGTGTACTACACCTATATATCGCCGTCAAAGTTTTCCTCCTCTCTTCTTGTTTACCGAAGAGTACGCGAAACGACGTCGTTTTACGCGATAGATTATACGTAAGTAAGCAAGTAGTACTCCTACGACCGTTAATGCGTTCTTTCGCGTCCTTACTCGCCGGCGTATGTACGCTCTACTGCGCGACTACTTGCTGCGCACGCAACTCCAATGGTAGGGGAGCCAAACCTACCGAGAGCGCTGATTGGTCAACGCGCTAGCAAGTAGGGAGGGCTCCGCGGTACTGGGATAACGACCACGTGACTGCTTGCCGCCTTGTCGCCGCCAAATTTGAACCTAAACAATACCTATCTATTTGAATATTTTATTATTTATTTTACTTTATTTATCATATACGTTATTATATCCGTTATAAGTTTTTTATTATTATCGGTGATGGGATCAAACAAAACAATCAAAGCGTAAATTATGGAAAAATATCAATTTCTATTTTATTTCTTTTTATATATAAAGATCGAAAATTCTTTTCCGATTACCTTAACAATGTACGTTTTTCTCTTTTTTCGACAAGCAAATTTGTTTTTACATTCTATTTTGACTCGACGTAAATATATCGATTACTAAGGTCTGAAGATTGCATGCCTCTTTCACTGTCTCTATGAGTTAATTAGAAAGAATGTGCGAATACAAACAAATGAAACGATTTAAATCCGGTCTCGTACCAGTTTAATCTGCAACGATTCGTTAACGCTTCATATATAAATACGCACGCGCACGCGTATACACACATCGAATAAAACATGTAATAGTTATCTTTTCTACCAAAGCATAAATGATTAGACGAAAACAAAGTTAAATTGTCAAAGAACACTTGAGGATATATATATATATATATAAAGATCACTGATAATTAATATAATAAGAAATTCAACAATTAACACGATGCTTCAATGTTATCTGATTTCACTTAACGATCATGATTTTTGTACGAAAACGTGATTAATTCGACTCAGCCACGTGAGATCTTAAAGATAAGATCTCTCTTTTAAAATGTTAATTCCAAAACTAATAGATCATCTCGAGTTTGATTGAAGTTTAAATATACATACTCGTATAACTTTGTACTTGAAACATTGTCAATATACATTTTCAAATGTGTGAACAAGTGAAATGCATCAACAACTAAAGTTCGTTTAGATGAATTCGTTTAAATGATTTCTACTTTATCACGCAAATACTATTATTTCATTTAAACGATGATTAAGCTGGTAACGAGCTTCTAATCTTCCGTTTATTATATTTCATTTCACAACTTTACTATCTCTTTCTTTTTTATTAATCTTTCCAATTATTTCCTTAATAATATCCCAAAAATATCGCTAGAGGAAGTTAAATAAACGCAAAGTATTGAATATATAAACGAAAATATAAGAAAGAAGAAGAAAAACTAGAGTAGGTGGAATATATCAAATGAAAAGACAATGGAAGGCTATTTATTAAAGGTTTTAATCATAATTAAAACTCTCCGATAAAACTCTCACTCGAATATTATTGGGAAAAGAAAATTTAGAACTATGACCGATATTAATAATAGCCTCAGACCAACCTCTTACCTCCTCGCATTACCCTAGTTCCTATGAATAATGTATTTTCTTCAGGAAATCATTGCGAGCTCCGAAAGAGAGACCCAAGCGTTCCAATGGAAATCATGACGTTCCTCAACAAAAAATAATATTAAATACAAAAACAATTTATAGTAGTGATAAGAAATGAATGAAATCGCGTATGATGTGTAGATGATGATTTTCAACAAGAGAATAAATATCATACAAGAATGGATATACGATAAGCTTTGTCTCTCTCTCTCTCTCTCTCTCTCTCTCTCTCTCTCTCTCTCTCTCTCTATGATAGATTATATAATATTAAATGTTAAAAAAATATTGATAAAAATTCGAATAAAATTGGAAACAAAGATAAATCTGTGCAACGAGTAAAGTTTTCATTTCTGATCGATCGTCGATCATCGTTATCTCTCATACACTGACTAATACTGTATTAATCTTATGAAAGTAATCATAAGTTTTCCTTCCCTTCTCTATCTCTCTCTTTCTACTTCTGTTTATAAAAGAATAGAGGATAGAGAACGTCGACGGTTCAGCGTATAGATTAATCAACGCGCGTTCGTTTAATTAGAATCATCGAACCAACAATTACTTGGCGGAACCAGATTGACGGAGTAACGACGCCAATTACGTCAACAATGGATGTTCCTCGCAATATTATATGAAGGGTGCAACAAAATTACACAACTAAAATTCCAAACTAAATCACACCTACGCAAATAACAAAAACATTTCATTTTTAAATCATACCAAATCTTATTCTAATTTATATTCATTTCCTCGAGCAGAAAAAAAACGATATAACTGATTATCTACGCTCATTGGTTAACCTAATCGAATAAAATCCAAATATTTCGGTAAAAAGCCTACTCGATGAAACTAAAAATATCAAATAAACAAAATGAGAATAACAAAATATGATAACTCACGTATAGAGTCTCCATTTTTCTTGGTGCTATTGTTCTTGTTCTTCTTGTTCTTTGTATAGATGTTACCAATTTTACTCTGGCCACAACCCATCCTGTTCACCTCATGCGACAGCACCGAATTCACTCGTACACGAAATAACAATATTATCGTCGTGTTTTTCTTCCTCTTGCTCTTTTTCTTATTCTTATTTAAATATTGTATTCGAACTACCAGAGAGTATAGCTTTTCTTTCACATTCCTTTCACTTTCTTCACATCGAAAAAAGATTAATAAATCTTGCACGAGGGCGATCAACTTTTTTCAACGAATTCTAAACTCCAATATTTTCTTCTTCTTCTTCTTCTTCTTCTTCTTCTTTAATACAATCTTTGTTTCTTTTAGATAACAAACAATTTATATAAATATTAATATTAATATATCAGCCTTTGCAACGCACAAATTTATATACATATAAATATTCTTCTTTCTCTTCTTCTTTGTATAGACACTTAATATACATTTATATATTGTATATATTTCTATAATATGTTACAGATAAAGATGTACAGTGTACACTGTAGAACAAGACAAGATTGTATAGCTTTCTTCTCTTTCTCACTTTCTTTGTATTTCTTTCTATTTATTTATCAATTTATTTATCTATTTCCCTCACATACACACACCTTGCAAAACCCGCCTGTTCAGAGTGCAAAACGTCACGACGACGACGACGACGACGACGACGACGCCGCAAGGACAACGCGATTGGAAGAGAAATATGTATAGTTTTGTTTATATGTTTGTATATATACGGGGTACGTGTACGTGTACGTGTACGTGTACGTGTAGAAAAATAAGAAAAAATATTGAAAAGAAAAATGAAGAACCTTGGGGGAACTCTCAAGAAGATATGTGACTCGTCGATAATAACTTTGAAAAAAAAAGAAAAGGAAATAAAATAGAAAATAAAGATCGGAACGCGAATTTTATCAAATCAGTCTTTTCGCTGCTCGACAAAACATCCTCTCTAATGATTTCTTTTTTATCTTCTCCTTGATTTTTGGCTTCTTACAATGTTCTTCTTGTTCTTCTTGATTTCGTATCGTTTTTTAATTTAGTAGATGGAGTAACTATTTCACGCGTATATTTAAATATATTTTTGATGATAGATATTTTCAGTCTTTTTCGTACACGTTGGGAAAAAAAGACTGTACGATGACGTAGTTGCAGTCTTGCGTTTTAGGAATTCGTTCACCGTGATAGAGTCCTCAGGAGGGTCCTCCTATAAATCGTAATGAAATATAATATTTGTTATTGCGAACACAAAATCGATAGAAGATACGATGTGCAACTATAAACTGTTATGATAAATTCCCGAGCTTGTTTTATTGTTTTGCTTGATTTGAAGAAAAAAGATAATCAACCTTTGCCATAAAACAATTTCACATAAATATCTATTATCTGTACAAATATGGAGGAAGGAAATATGAAGAAAAGATAGATCAGGGTGAAATAAATGCATGTTATTACCCGAGTCCATACGTCCAATCCATTCTGCTTAACTCATCTGTTCTACGGCATGGTATAAACATCGGTTCTATCATCTATCCCATGTCCAAATCGACGTCTTCAACATCTTTTAGTCTCGTTGTTCTATACATTCGTACTATCTATCACGATAGTAGGTTTTTTTTTATTTTTTATTTAAATGTCCTTAGTAAATATCTTACTATACCCCAATTACGTCTGGAATATAGACACACTTTGCGTGTATCTTCTTCGAGATTCTCCCAAAAAATATACGTTATCAATTCTAAGATGGATAAGAAGAAACGCATAGAAAATTCATCGAAAAGAGAAAGAGAATGTTCATTTTTTCCCCATGGAAAATATTACGATAAGAGTGTGACCAAAAACTAGGATGATGGTTTTCAATTTTCTGATCTAACGACATGTCAACGACATGTTTCTTTTACATTTTTTTCTAATCTTTTCCTTTTATTTCTTATTTCTTTTGCTTCAATAAACGACGAGTTCTACGACTATGGCCAGGTTCTTCCCTTCTCGATTAATCGGACTCAGCTGCGCACTATAAGAACAAAAAAAAAAAGAAAAACAAATTACATCGAATTAGCATCCAGAATTTATCTTCGTATCGCTGATCTTTTATCTCCATTCTAGCCATTTTATTTTTTTCATTGAATTATAAGAATAATCGAGATTTCATTTATCAAAAAATATGATTGCAATATATTTTTTCATGCATTCACTTTCATTACTGACGTTGGCAACTTCTTTTATCTACAATAATAATAATAATTAATACATAATTATACATCTTACATATGTATAATACGATTGCTCGTACGTTAGCGTTATGAATGCCCCTTTGTGTTGCTAATTTCTTTTACTTAACAATTTCATTTAACGAAAGTAGTTAAATTATATCGATATGTTATTTCTCGTAAAGAATTGGGAGATGATTTAATATTAATCGATGGTTTTTATCGACAGAGAGAGAGAGAGAGAGAGAGAGAGAGAGAGAGAGAGAGAGAGAGAGAAGGAGAAAGAGAAACGATTTAGCAAAAGAAGTTACTGATAGAAATTCTTATCAGCAATATCCACCTTATCATTCGACTTATCGATTCGATACAGAAACATACCGTTTATTTAAAAAAAACAAAAGGCTCCACGTTAATCCTAAGAATAATTTCTTCTCATCAATTTTATTGAATATTTTGTATTTATTTAATAGGGACAAATATTGAAATGATATTTCGATTGGAATGTTTAAAACCTGTTGCTCTCTTCGAACAGACGAATGAAAAATGAGGACATGCAAATACACAAATACGCGTCGGTAATCGTACGAATCAAATTAATTGGCTCAATTTATAGAGAAATCTATCGAACCTCGATTTGAAATTACAATGAAATTTTTATCGAAGATTGAATTTTATTTAATAATCAAATAAGATGAAACAAAAAAAAAAACAAGGGAAGAAAATGATGAAACAATTAAATACATTCGACGTATTAATTTGATTCAAAGAGTTTACACACACACAATATTTCTATAGGTATTAAATATAAATGAAAGAAATGAAATAACAGAAAGCCAATTTAAATGCAAAAATAATGACAGCACGAATATTACAAGAAATAGAAAAAAAGGGATGATGATGCAAAATTGGCTTTAAAAAGAATAGATAAATAGGAGGAAAAAATAATAGGAAATGAAATGAACGATGACGGAAGGATTTATCGTTCATTAAATTGTTTCTGTCCTGAAGTGTTAGTTCGATCGATCGAATTTAATCTTATCTCAACGTAGCTCTGCACACCGAGTAGATTAATTTATACTTTATTCTGGTCGTTCCTACGTTCTTTTCGCGATCCCTAAATCAACTATCTACACGCATAGAAAGAGAAGACCTCTCAATCTCTCTCTCTCTCTCTCTCTCTCTCTCTCTCTCTCTCTCTCTCTCTCTCTCTCTCTCTCTTTTTCATTTTAACTTTCATTTTCTCTTTTCCTATAAAAAATGTGTACTCAAAGTACGTTTAATTTCTCTATCTCTCCAACTTCAAGTTTAATCTTCGTACTTCGTTTCTTATTCGCACGATAAGCTTTTGAAAAAAAAAAAAAAGAGATTGCTATGGAAGAGAAAGAATGCAAAGAGAGAAGGTAACGTACAATTGACCTTGATTTAATTCGATGGGAAAGAACTGACTGGAAAATTCATGCGTATGATTTCATCGATCCTAACTTAACAACGACCCTATACTTAGCCCTTGCATTAGAACAACAATGACTATTAATGATATAGAACACACACGCATCAAATTCTTGTCACAGTCAGTATCTTGATTTTCTTTATCTTTGCAACTATGTATTTATACGCTACTTGCGTATAAATTTATACATACTCACATGTATACTCGCATATTGATGGAAACGAGAATGCAAGCTTACTTACTACGTAAACTTCGTATCAGCGTTTAATCACAAAACGGAAGAATACGAGTGCGATGTACTTGCGATGATCTACGACATTTATAGATTTGTATGTTTTTACGTGAGTCTACGTGATTTGAAAATAACAACAAGGTAGGAAACTGCTGTGTGTATAGTACGTGATTAGGAAATCATTATCGTTCGCTTCCTTCCTTCCTTCCTTTCTTCTGAAATGAAAAGTAACAAACGTTGTAATAAATGAGCCGAGCTATGCAGAAACTCATGAACCCCGAAGAAATATTCATTTAATATTAAAAATGATAAGAAGAAAAAAGACCAAAAAATGGATAAATTCCCTCTGCAATTTGCTCGAAATGATTAGAAATTCCCACTTTAGTTTAGAATCGATAATAAATATTTTCGATAAATGAGGATATTCTTGTTTTTCTTCTTTTCTCTCTGGAATAAATATTTCGTCGTGGCTCCTACGTGCAATACACATCCTTCCGCCGCATTCTTATTATATTTTTCTTTTGTTTCCGTATTTATTGTTTTCTTTTTCGTCGAATATAACGCGACACACATAGTCGGTAAAGAAACTGCGAAGTGGAGGACGACTACTTAATTATAATACTTATAATAAAGACTAAATTGATGACTATATTGAGAAGATCCTCCGCCACTGGCTGGGTTGACCATTACCACCAGCATACCAGCACTATTCCAGCAGCATTACCACACACAACCCGCGCCTTTGGATTTCGCGCAAAGAAAGCAATATGGCGATCGATATGTATGTACAACGCGGTTAGCCGCTTTTGACAGTTCGATGACACGAAATATAAACACGTTCGCCATATCTATTTGTCAAACTATATTCGAATCAATTTTTCGAATGAGCGACAAACTTTTGCAAACAAAAAAAACATAATAAAAAGAAGACAAGGCGCGATAAGAAATCATTCTTAATCCCCTTGACCATAAACAAATAATTAGACGCATGTATACGTTAATATGAAAAAACAAATTTCTTTTGAAACGCAAAACTTTGTTTGAAGAAGATATGTGTCTAGAAATATAAAGCGTGATGATGTATCTTTGCCCTCTCGCTCGCTCTTTCTTACTCGACGGCTCTTACTCGACGAGAGGAAATGTGTGGTGGGAGTGGTAAGTAAAGAAGATCCCAACGTCAGCCGAAAATTTCAATTACTATACTCAACTAACCTCGTTCTTCTTAATAGAGACCAGACGACGCACGCCACGCATATGAGCACACATGCAAACACAGAGACGTGTCCACCTGTTTTTCGGTCGTAGCAACACCCACACCCACACCCACACACGTATTACACAGAGAAACACAAGCTCGTCTCTCCTATAGTGTTAACAATTGATCTGGTTGAAAGTGTAAAAATAAGGAGGAAATAAAATGTCAGTTGTATATAAATAATAAACTATGAAATAAATGAAAATAGAGATAATTGGATGTGCCGCGCGAAAATGTGGGTCCGCACACATCGACCACCCTCGAGGTTCTAGCATCGACTATTCGTCCGGCTGAGGCGCCAGCTGCACCGCGCATGCGCGCCCATCCCCGCCATTCCTACTCGAAAACACGTATACACGCATGCACTCTCTACTCTATAGCACCCTACTACTATCTCTCTCCTTTTAAACTAGGCTACTCGCGCACTAAGCTATATTCTACAGGGTGTTCTGAAAATAAATTTATCTAATCATATTTTTCTTCTATGATTTATTGATCTATTTCATCGGTTTCTTTATACCTTACGATTATTTCTCTACGCTATTAAATATTTCATTATGATTTTATAACTTTCTTCTTTCTAATCGATCATGAGATTTATTTATTTATTTCATTGCAATTGAACACCTCTTATTAATTCCGTTTTAGGGTGCGTTCACGTACTCTCAACCTCCTCAGGAGTAAGCTCGGTTAATGTATTCGTGTCTTCTGTATTCGTTGTCAGGGCTGGCTCAAAGAAGACGGATATTTCAAGCTAACGAGATTGGGAGCTTCTACTTGTCGCATGCTAAGGATTTTAGTTTAGATAAATATCTATGAACAAAATATGTCAGTATATTCATATTTCGGCTACGAAATCCTTCGTCTAATCTTGAAGTTATCGAAATAAATAAAAACTAATAATTTGTATTATTTCTAACACATTCGTACCCAGATGCCGGCGGTACGGCGTTCCATGTAAAAAGTTAAATGCAAAGTCCGAATTAAAACTTGTGCCAAGATCTAAATAAATAAATTCATTGCGTTCATTTGTTCTTTTTTCTTTCTTTTCTTTAACTTCATTAATATATTTGAAATAAACTCTGTCAAGTGTGTATATTCCGTCTACGAATCGTGGATTTGTCTATTTCGTAGATAGATTATGTTGCTGACTAAAAAAAGCCTTAAAGTAAAGTATTGTGTACGTGTACTTAGGAGTATCGTAAATACATCAAACAATAGGATTGAATCTCTACAATTGTGGAACACGGAGAAGGCTTCAAATCGCTCATGAAAACCAGATTCTACCTACCACAAGACACTTCTAATCATCTCCTTATCATCTTTATACCCCAAAATATAGATAGATTACTCGCTGATAAAAAGCGGAAGTTAACACGAATAAACGAATTAAAATTCATAAGTAAATAGGGACTCTTTCGTGCGTACAAAATGTGACGTATCTTGCGAGATCATTTTTTCATTTTTTTATTTTAAAAAATAATAAAACAAAAATTATGAGTAGAAAATAATACTTAAAACGTGTTACACACACGCTAATCGAAGAAAATCGATCGAAAGGCAAATTATCTATCGGCATCGTTTATTCTTCCGACAATGTTATTTTATTGAAAATAATAAAAGCATATTTTTCTAGGTCTTCCGGTCTCTCCGTCATCCTCGTGTGTATCCTGTCAATTAACCCTTTTGCTTCATTATTCGAAAAAATAAAAAGAAAATATTTTCTTTTAGACGTGTGATCACAATTGTTACCACTAACGCCACCTGCAAACGATTATCGAACTTATTTCTCTCGAGATATACTACGTAAATAAACTTGCTCCTCTCCGCCACACACCGATAGTATATTCAAAATATAATTACAAATACCTAAGCGATAAGACGACGATTCATTTGAAATTTAAATTCGTAAATTATGTTTATTTGATTTTTCAATAAATAATGTTTATTACTTTTTTATTTTAATTATCAAGACCAATAATTTTCATGAAAAATGATTGTGATATTTTGTCTTGATTTATTTTCTATAAAAAAACACTATAATATTACTTTTCACTTGAACATCTTTTCTATTTGAGAATAAATAAATAATATAATTAGTTATTTTGTATATATTACAAAATGTCAACATTACAAATTGGTTGATCCAATACGAAGTAGGACATGAAAATGAAGGACGAAAAAATTCAATATTTTCGCGTATCGTGGTAGATATTTTTTCTCGCCAAGCCCACTCTTTTTGGCTATAAAAGTCTCAACGAAGGTCGACCTAAGGTATTAGAGGGCTGAGAACTTCGTGTAGGATTACTAGCCTCTTGCGAGGGTCGTGACATTCCAACAGGGATTCCCAGCTTTCGGAATATCGTAACGGGTCTTGTCATTGTCATTGTCATTGTCTTGTCACGTTCCAGGCCTTTCAAACGACACGACAGCAGCCGCCCATTGGTGTGTAAGTGTGACGCGCAGTAATAAATACCCACCACGTTCTTTCCTTTTGCTGAAAGAAATAGAAATAACAAAAATTGCAGACGAAAAAAAAAGGAAAAAGACAAGAAAATGATCGGAAAAATTCCATTGGTTTGGAAATTCGTTTTAAATTGAAACAATAGATAACTTTTCATTCAGGTTTGTACCTAAATTAAACCATGTTTTGCAACAACAAAAACTATCAACCCTCGATTATCTGTAAACTTATTTTTCATTTTGAAAAAAAGCTCATCGTATTTCTTATTCATTCAAAAGTTCTCCTATGAATTGGCTAATTTTGTGCTAAATAAGAATTTGGTTAAAACGGTTGCTAGATTTCTGAATAACTTGGCCCCAATTATCTTTCGAGATTGAAGGATCTTTCAAGTAATAAATTCTATTAACGGACGTTAACGAACGTTCGTTCAAATGCAATTACACGATTGCATCTAATTTTACGATATATATAAAGTATATAACTCTTCTCTTCGCATACGATGACCCGATTAAAGTAACAAGAACTTTGTATGTACACGTATGTATACACATATTATGTGTTAATCGTTCAACTTGTTCATAGAAAATATCAATAAAAAGGACTAAACATACAGCAGGACGGTTCCACAAATTCCTAAATGTTAAATTAATAATCAAAATAATTATAGAGAAAGACAGACACACATAACAAATGGAATCTTTGCGTGTACGCGAAGATAAAGTAAATTTTTATTTTTTTACCTTTTTTTGGTTGTGGATACAATGATCGATTGATATCTCGTTGAGATTAATTAAATTAAGTATCTCCAATAGCCATAACTACGCAATCTCGTTTACAAGACAGCCGTTTTTCGTAGACGACGACGACGACGACGACAAACGAGGGGTGAGTTGGGCGAATTGGCTTAAGAATTGGCTTAAGAATTGGATTTAAACCCAGCGCAATTAAACGAGAACTAAGCTTATATGATTATTTTTTCATCTTCGAATTCTTTGCTTCGGCTTTTGCCTTTTCAACGACTTTCAATGTCATCGTTTCAACATATGTAAGTTTAGCAAAAAATTCTAACGCCTAAAAATTGTCCATCATCTCATCCGATGATTTTTTTTCTCAACTTTCCAACTGTTACAAATAAATCCCCAAACGAATGGAGAATACAATTTTAACGTAATTAAAATAAAGTCAATGAAAGTAAACGATTAACGTAAAAACGCACAAATCGTAATCCCTAATTTTGCATTTCACACACGCACCGCACACGCACCGCACACGCATCGCACACGCGCGCGCGCGCGCGCGCACATTCACGCGGAATATAGCCTTACGAATATATATGTATGCATGTATATATACACGATATATACGTCGAAGCAATGTAGTGTACAGAGGAATGTTTTCTGAACAAAAAATCAAAATCAAAATTAAAAAGAAAAAATAAATTTGCATATCAAACTCTCTCCATATACAACCAACAACGTTGCACAAAAGAAGAGAAGTTCAACACGGCGCGAACAGAGGATGTGCTCACTCGTGTGTGCGTGTAACTGTAGTACATGTGCCCATGTATGTATATATGTATGTATGTAACACTATTCGTTTATGGGTTTCCGTTCGTGGTTCGAATATTATTACGAGACAACGGCAAAATATTTCGAAACTACTATCTACGAAAGTCAAGCAACATCGAATAACGGGACTAACGAACGAAATATTTATTTATTTTTTCTTTCTTTCTCCTTCTTGATACAAATATCGAAGAGAAAAGAAAATATTATCGAAATTATTTAAGATCTAATTGTAAGAGAGTATATTTAGCGAATAGGGTCCATTCAAGTTCTTTTATATTTCTTAAAAAAGATAATACTCTCGCATTTGAAATGTACAACTGACCTTATACTGATATGCGTTGTACGTTAAATATACATACATATATACATGCATGCGTACAAGCACACATATTACTTAAAACGACCACGTGTACTTTTTTCTGTTCTTTTCATTTCTATCTCTATCTCTCTTTATGTATTAGTTCGTTCGTCGCCAATTTTCAATGTCACTTGATAATTATTCACATCACACACGGGTTCACTATTTCTCCGTTACGAGAAAGCGTCAAATAACGAATACAATGTAAAAATGTCTTCCTATATATATATTTTACGTATTTCATTTAAAATGAAACTTAATCTCTCTTATATATACCCCCCCCTTCTCTCTCTCTCTCTCTCTCTCACTCATTCGTTCGCATTAATTAAATACACGTTTACGTACACCTCTCAATGAAAATTATTCTTTTCACGCGCTCCACACTCTTTCTTTCTCTCATACATACATACAAACACATACAATTTGTAAACCGATCGATTAAAAAAATTCACGAGAATTGATTTGAAATTTCGTCTAAATCTGTCACAAGCGAAAGGAAAAAGAAAACGCGCCTGTTGTTATATTGTTTTTAATTATCTATTGCATATTAATAGAAACAATATTATTATTATTATCTCTTACATAGTCGTTTATCTGTGCACACAATCATCTTCACAATAAATAAAGCAATGCAAACTTTGCGCCTAATCGTTGCAGACACGACATCTCGTAGCGGATTTGTCGCATTATTTTGCTGTAATAATAATAATAACAATGATAATAATAATAGTATAATAATAGTATAATAATAGTATAGTAATAATAATAATTACAATATAATAATGATAATAATTAAATGAAACTACATAATGGCGCTAAGATTTTATTTTCCTTCTCTCTCATTCTTACTTGCAGGCACGCACACACACACGCGCGCACGCACACACTCTCAATCTGTGTATACTTTTTATTTTCTTAGTGGCAATATAACCATTCTTATCGCGTATAAATAAATAAATAATCGATTCAGGATATTCCCACGAGATAATAATATAATATATATTTCAGGTGGTGGCGGGACACTTTTTATACGATCACTCGTTTTATTTTACTTTATTTTATTCTGTTTTTTCTCCTAATCGCTATATCGTATTCGATAATTATTTTCCTCGACAAATTAGGCCTTGCATACTTATAAACAAAAACGTACTACGTGCGTCATTTCCGATACTAGCCACTTTCTTTCTTTCTTTGCTTCTTCTTTTTTCAAACAAAAAAGGAAGATAAAATATACGGAAAAAAAAAAAACGAAGACAAATTCTAAATCGACCGATTAATTTTTTATTTTTTATTTCTTTACAGTGATTCAATATTATGAGATTAGGATAATTAGAAACAAAAAAAAACAAGGATTCGTCATATGCTTTTTCTTCCCTTTGCATATAAATCCATTCTAACACACAAATACATGCATATATGTGCATAGATCTCATCATTTTTAAATTAAAAAAAAGAAAAATAAAGAATAAATAATCGATTATATGATTTAATTTAATCGGTCGTTGAATTATACTCTTTGAAGTTAATGAATTATTCTTCGATTAACCTAATGTTAAATACCACATCAACATGAACAACAAGAACAACAGTAGCGGCAGCAGCAGCAGCAGCAACAGCAACAACAACAACAAGATCGTTAGATGGAAATTAGACGCACGTTTACGTTAATCGCATCCTAATCTTAATCTTCTCTTGGGGTCGTTATGTGAAAACGAAGAAGACTTACGCGTATGTACTGGCACCGTAATGGGCTTATTTTAAGTGTTTTTTTTGTTTTCTTTTTGTTTTCTTTTTGTTTAATCCGATGTTAATCTTAACGAAGAAAAATAAAATAAAGTAATAATAATAATAATGAAAAAATAGTTAAAAAGAAGATATGCGCACTTACAGTAAGACGAATCGATAAGTAAAATTGGCGCTTCTCTAATCTCCAATTTATTTGATTTGTCTCTTTTCTTTTTTTTAATTAATTAATTGATTATTTGTATGAAGGTATGATTATCGCTAAAACGGAAAGAACAAATTTATATTAGAAAGAAAAATAATAAATAAGATTTGGTCGCCAAGACGAAATACAACATGGGAAATAATGGTAAGAAAAAATGGTAAGAAAATTGAAAAGAGAATTGAAAATTTCACGAAAGCTTCAAAGCTTCGATACAAAGAATCATATTTCTCTTGTCTTCTCTTTCTATTTTCTTCTTACTCTCGGGTAGAACACAAAAATCGTGGTATCAACGACCGTGACAAAAAAATATTCTTAGGCCAGACAGACGCGCGCGCGCGCGCGCGCGTAATCACTATACACGTCTTGAAATAAAATAAATAAATTCTAGCCCTTTCTTACCCCATTGTTGTCGACGTACACATCTATTTTAATAATAATAATAACGAGAGAAAAATGATAAAATATATTGCTCTTGCAGTATTAAAACAAAATAAAAGAGAGAAATTTTAAAAGAGAGAAAACAAAAAAACGACGATGAAACGAACAATTTATTAATTTCAATTACAAAGAAAAAGAAAAATAGGAAAAAAGAAAAAAAGATAAGAAAAATATATATATTATATATATATATTTTCTATTATAATATAAAGAACTCCATTACTAATTTGCGAGTACTTTTGATAATTTATTTATTTTTGTTTCTTTCTTCGAAGGGGAATTTTTTTTTGCCTTTTATCCATTTATTTTTATTATTTTTTTGTTTTGTTTGTTCATTAATATTATACTAAAATGAAGACAATAGGTATATAGAATAGTATCCTCAACGATTCGTCAAACAAAGTAAGCGTTTACTATTTTCAGCATATTTATATCGACCGATCGATATTGTAAAATTGGTAACTTCTAAATCATTTCGATCATTTTTTCCGTCCATACAGATGCGTGTTTGTATTTATTTATGTATGCATGTGTGTATGTTTGTGTGTGTATGTAAGGTACGCGCGTATGTGTTCAGATGTACAGATGCGTACAAACTATTATTTAAACTTACTTACTTACTTACTTACTTATTTATTCCTATTCATTATAACATTTGTATCTTTCCTTTTGTTTTTACGCCTGATCATAATACATTTTTATTGTTTCTTTCTCTTTTCCTTTTTTTGGCGGAATATAATAAATATTGTTCAATAAGTAAGATCAAAAAATGTTATCTCATCGTGCTATTGCAATCAGAGACAAGAATAAAACGAAAGTATGGATAGAAAAATTACTTCGGCTTTTGGAAAAATATCTATCGGATAAATGACACGATCCGCGCCGACTTTAAATGCCGTTATGTTATTCTTTCTGTTATTTCTTTTTCTTCTTGCGTGACTTGTATTCTCTTTGTCTGTTTCTTTCTTTCTTACGTTTTTTTTCTATAATTTATTTTTCTCGTTAAATATTATTTTTTACATCCTTCACAAGGATCTCACAAAATTAACAAATTATTATGCTCACGTGCAGGTACGCGTATATATATGTACATGTATATACGAGTATATATATAATACACGAATGATTGTTATATATATATATATATAACTGATTAAATGAGAATCCATTGCTTTGCTTTAAGTAACGTGGTGTACAGGTAAAAGTTACACATACATCATTTTTTTTCTTTTCTCCTTTTTTGTTTTTACCATTTACTTATACACTCGATGCATCACCTTATTATCTTTTCTTAAATCCAATTAATGTACACAATTTCATTTGGACTTTATTATCTTATTTGTGGTATAAGATGGTGTTTGTAATTATAATTGTATTACTTTTTTACGTCATGTCAAAGAATGCAGTCTTCTTTCACATCGAGCAAAACATTTGTGATTTAATAAAGATATATATATATAAGAATCGCGTGGATTGTTCATAACTAATTGTAATTGTGTTAATGAATCTTATTCGGTTTTACCATATACCGATTCTATATATACTGATTACATCAGGCTTATAACTTTGGGCAATACGTTCTCTATATATGTTCTCTATATACGTTTTCTATATGTTCCCGCCAGTAGGATAAAAGGGAAATGCTCCAAACTGGAAATTCACCGGAGTCTTTGGTGAAGCACAAGTATACAGAAAATCATCAGACTGCAATTGCGTCCTGTTTAAATTTGGTTCGGATGCAGATCTTGTGATTTTGGGTAAGCCACGCAGTAAACCTTCCAAGCTTACTAAGATCTGTCGGAATATTGGTCGATCGTCCCTTGAAAATTTAATACAGTCTTCTGTTAATCTCTTCAATGCTTTTGGAGTATCAGACCGCAGCTTGTTCAAATCAGGACGTAAATATCCACGTCCAACCATGAACAATATTTGATCCTTGTTATTGATATTCGAGTACGGTAGCTGACCAGCAAGCAATTCATACAAAACTACACCAAAGGCGTAAACATCGGACTGGAAGCTATATGGATTTTCCTCTTGCATTCTAATGACTTCGGGTGCCATCCATAGAATAGATCCAGTCGGTTGATGAAATTGTTGAGATCCTGACCATCTTGTTTTAGCGGTAGCTAAACCAAAGTCGCCAATTTTAACAGTAAGATCATCGTGTAGAAATATATTGTTGCTCTTTAAATCTCTATGGATGATATTCTTAGCATGTAAGTAATCCATGCCTTGTGCCGTTTGTCTACCAATTTCTATCAGAGTTAATAATTCAAACTTTGATTCGAATACATGTAGATGTTTGTATAAAGATGAGCCCTCGCACCATTGCGTTACAATAGCAAGCTGCGGTTTACTAACACATCCCATAAATAATAGAATATTAACGTGTCGTGTTTTTCTTAATACGGCTACTTCATTTTTAAATGCTTGCAACTGAGCCGTCGTTGGTATCTTAACATTTAAAGTTTTAACTGCCACAGGACCGTGCCAGTGTGCTTTGTATACTGTTCCAAAGGATCCAGAACCAATGCGTGCTCCTACCAAGATTTCATCCGCTGGAATTTCCCAGTCTTCTATAGACTCTCTGGGAGCCAAAAGATTTTTCGAAGATTCATCGGCTGATCGTGCTCTTGGACGTTTCGGTCTCAAAGTACTGGTTGGACTAGCTTGCGTCGATTGACTATGCTTGGTAGGACTGCTACCAGGCGAGACTGAACACTGGGTAGTACCTATAGGTCGACCTAAACTCTGAGACCTACTATATTCATCCAGATTAGTTGGTTCGCCTCCAGATCTGACCATGTTGAAGCAAACATTTGGCGCAGAACTCGAACGATCCTGTTGTCCCAAAGAGCGTGGATGTCTCTGATTTCTAGACGGTGCTAAAGAAGGTGACATACTTCGGCTCAAACCGTAACCAGATGGTAGTTGTAAAATTCCAGCCTCTCTTTCGGGATTGTGGGCTAACAATGCTTGGTAATAAGCGTCTTGCATACGCGCTTGATGGCAGAGAGCTGGTACACTTCCAGCACACCTTTGATGAAAACGATAATTGCATGTCCTACAATAGAAACCCTGAAAGAGCAACTTTCTACAGCATTCGCAAAATGCCAGGGAAAAGAATGTCTTGCGCACAAAGTTATGTGATATTGAAGTAGTTATAGGAAACTTATCAAGAATCTCTACTGATATCTCATCGCAATCGAGTAAAGAGATGTCAGCATCCCAAGAAGTCAAATACTTGGATTTGCCTGGCCCCAGGATATGCACAGCACACATTTCGGTAGTTAGATTCCTCAACTTCATAGCCTTGGCTAGAGCATCCCTCAAAGATAGTCCTTCGCGCACCTGAACACTAGTACGCTGTTTGTTGGGCAGATAGGCCCTCAGCAAAGATTTCATAGGGGTTCTAGGACACCTATTGACAGCATTGGGCTCTCGAGAATCATTCTCGGACATGGAAGCTCCAGTAGATGTCTTGCCGACGTACAATAATTCGATCAGCTTCTGTTCCTTGGACTCCAAATCATGCAACTTGCTGGTGAGTTCTTGATACTCGTTTAAATATATGGATGGTGGATGTTGAAAACCGGCAAAGCGGTTATTTAAAGCATCGATGTTCTCCCTTGTCACGGATATGACACTTTGAATGTTACGAAGTTCGTAGCTCAGAGGATCCATGTCGACATAACCGTCCTCGGAGTCGCTGAGATCCCCAGAGTCAGGTTCACTGCCACGAGAGAACGACATCGCGACCAACAAGATTGTCAAATGCCCCTTCCTCCTCTGTCGACGATAGCGACGGGACGACGACGGCGACGACGGCGACGACGACGACGACAACGACGACGTCCACGAGGAGGAGGAGGAGGAAGCGGATAAGGAAGAAGAAAAGGACGAATAGAAAAGTAACGAGAAGGAATAAGAAAGAGAAGAAGAGGATAAGGAGAGGGAAGAGGAGGAGGAGGAGGATGAGGAGGAGGATGAGGTCAACGACGAAGACGGCGATAACGATCATGATGATAAACCCCTTCCGACCTGGACCCTCCGGCACGAAAATTTCCTGTAGAGGCACGCGCGAATCGCCGAGTAATACCTGCTCTCGCCGACCACGGCCATCTTCTTGTTTCGTCCTCTCGACAAGGAATATCCTGAGTTGCCGCCGCCGACGCCGCCGCAACTAAACGCTTTGTCGGACCACCTTGGTAGCTCTCCTTGTTCTACCTTGTCCACCCCTCCTTTCACCACACTGCACACTTCCAAAAAGAAGAAGGAGAGAAAGAGAGGAATTCTTCGACACACGCCGCCGCCGCCGTCGTCGTTAACACCACCACCAGCACCACCGTCACCACCACCACCGCCACCGCCACCGCCGTCACGTCCACCACCTCCACCGTTACTGCCGCCGCTTCTCGACGACGCACCACCACGCGCGTCCTCCTAGTAGCAGCAGCAGCAGCAGTAGCAGCAGCAGCAGCAGTAACAACACCACCACTACCACTACCACCACTACCACCACCACCACCACCACCACCACCACCACCACCACCACCACTAGTGACTCTTCGCTCTTCTTCGTTCCTTCTTTCTCTTCTTTTTCTTCTACTACTACCGTTGATACTACTACTACTACTACTACCACTACCACTATTACTATTATTATTACTTTTACTTTTCCTACTACGCAAACTACAATTACTACTACTACAGCTGCTGCTAATGCTACTACTGCTACTACTATTACTATCACTATTACTATCTTCCTCGCTTGGCCTTACGAACGGCCAATCGTAACAACACGATACGCGTCGAGCCTGCGGCATAACGCGACGTCTAAATGTTCAACACCTTCTTCGTCGTAGTCGTCTACAGTCCGATCAACAAAAACTATTATCTCCTGTTTCAGCATCGATGCAGTTTACTTTTCTAATTCCTTATCCTTTCTCTTTATCCTTTTCTAACCTCTTTTCGGAACACGACTTTACACTATCAAAAATGTCTTCTATTATACTCTCTCTTAAAAGTCTATCGTATAAATCTTCCTATCCTCAGCTCTACCGAAAGAAAACTGGCTGTTGGCATGAGCGAATCCAATCTCTGTGTTAGTATTTAATATGTGTATAATATATATACGCGTGCGCGCGCGCGTTTGGGTACGTAGGATACCGTTTCCAGAAGCGTCAGTGCTGCCACCGTCTGCGTCACTACTCCCACCCCTTCAAAATGTTCACATCGATGCGCGCGCGTGCGAACGTCCAATCTCCTTCCATTTTCCTACAACTCTTATCCTTTCCTTTTCTCAGAGATACCTAAATTTTCATCACAAACGAATAACGGTCTGTCATCGTTCTTCTCTTTACTCTCAATCCTTTTTTCTTACGATCTATCAACTTTTAAAACGGAAATTTATTTAATAATACTCAATTTTTTAAAACGACAGAGATGCACCATTCGAATTTTTCCGCTATTAAGAATGTCGCAAAGTGCGCGAACAATGGTGCTCGTTTAAATGCAATTAACACGACTCTTTTTATTTCTATCCTTATTATTTTTTTATTTAATTAATTTTAATTAATTTTATTCATTGCTTTTTTTCCCTTTCTTTATTGTTCCCTAACATTGAAATATGAATAATTTTATTTTAATAAATAAATTACATGTTTGTTTTTTTCATTGATTTCATTAGATTTTAGAATTATTTTTATCGAACGATCATCGAATGCACGATAATCTCAATAATTATACTTGCGAACATTTCATTTGTCTATTTCATTTGTCTTTTTGTATAAATGTAAAAGTAATATGTAAAAGTGCATGCTGTTTGAAATAGCGCACTCAAAAATACGTACGTTTTTTTCTTTAAAACGTATTTCAATAACGTAGGGTTGAATTTTCTTCGCAAAGAGAGCCACGTTCTCGTTATAATTAATCATTTTCTTGAAAATATGGTCTAGGGAAAGGGGGGATTATTATTTTTCACAAGACGATAGAATAGAAGTTGAATTTTTCTGTAAACACAGGCACTTGCATTGCGCGTTTCTTGACGTCACTGCGGACGGACTTACGTCACAGCAGCATATGGTATCATCACCTAGGTAACTCAAGTCGATTCTAATTGGTCCGCTTACGCGCATCATCTATATGATACTTATGAACACACAAAGATCTTCAAGATTATTATTCCCTTATCCTTATTGAGTTGAAAAATAATGAATATGGATGAATTATCGTTTTAATCTGAAATCGCGAAATACACCCATTACACGTGCCAAATAATTCTATATCTATTTAATATATTCTTAATGTTTTATTCTTTCTCTACCAATGCCTAAGTCCAAGGTCATAGTCTAATTTCATATGTAGCATTCATGAATTTTATTGCTGATAACGATAGTTGATTAAAAATGTCGAATCTCGTAGTTGGAAAACTTGCTTTCGTTACTGATTTGTTTAAAAATAATTACAATACATTTCTGTTAATTTGATTACTACTGTGTATAATTATGGTGATTTGTTTTATCTTCATTTTAGGAGCTGGGAGTGGTATTGGTAGAGAAACATGTCGTATACTAGCTCGGGAAGGTGCTAAAGTTATCGCTGTAGATCAAAATCTTAAAATGGCTGAGGACACGGTCAAAGTTTTAAACGGTATTTATAATATTTCAAAAATATAAATCATATTATGAATATCTTTTTTCATTCTTTCTAATTTTATGCTTATACGATTTTAGGAGCCGATCATATTGCATTAAAAGTAAATATTACTGATCCGCATGATGTAGAACAAGCTTTTAAACATACTGTTAAACAATACTCAACTTCTCCAACGATTATTGTAAATTCGGCAGGAATAACGAGAGAGAATTTTATTCTTAAACTCAGTGAAACTGAATTCAACGATGTCATTAATGTTAATTTAAAAGGTACATTTCTCATTATGCAAAACGCAGTAAAAACTATGATAGAGACTGGACAAACGGAAGGAAGTTCTATCATTAATATTGCTTCAATTGTTGGTAAAACTGGGAACATTGGTCAGGGTAATTACAGTGCTTCGAAAGCTGGAGTCGAAGCTCTAACTAAAACAGCCTCTATGGAATTTGGAAAGTAAGTTTGAATTATTTTCATCAAATTTTGTTTCTTTAATATTAAATATAAGACTTGACCATTATTGTAGATTAGGAATACGCGTTAACGCAGTATTACCAGGATTCATAGAAACTCCAATGACCGATACAATTCCTGAGAAGGTAAAAACTATGTTTGTTAATAGAATATCATTTAAAAGAATGGGTAAGCCGAAGGAAGTTGCGGAAGTCATTACATTTCTGGCTTCGAATAGAAGTTCCTATGTTAATGGTGCTTCCATTGAAGTTACAGGAGGATTGCATTAAATCAGGGCTTCGAACTGCTTATACTTAATCGACATATATTTTGTATTTTGAAAATAATTTTGATATCTTCCGTAAATGCGGAGAAATAAAGGGATTTTTCAAATAACAATAATCCTATATAAATACAAAACCATATATATATATAATTTTTAGATACATTATCAAGATTACTTCTTGTTTCCTTTCTTTAATCGTTTAGCATGTTTATATGCTTTATATTGTCGTTTATTCTTTTCCTCAATTATTTCTTTATATTTGCGTTTATTGTATTTAGCAAATTCGGCATCCGCCATAAGTTCTTCCACAATGGTATTCTTTCGTTCTTTCTTCGTAAGACGATCAGAATAATAATCTATAGGAGAATCTATTACTTTGCCGATTTGGAAATATTTAGGTAAAACTTTCAAGTCATTCTTTTTGTAAAAGTGTTTAGGATCTAATACAGATCTCATTTGAATAACTTCGAGATCGTGTTTAATCTCATCGGTATGTTCAGTAGCCGGTAAATTATACCACTCTTTGCCTTTAGTTTTGTTTCGTTCTTCAATTTTCTTAGTGCGTGCACGTCTTTTATTTTCTCTCAACGATGGTATGCTTTCCAATTGTTCCAATCCAGGTTGTATAACGCTTTTTTTAAGTATCTTATCAATCGGTGCTATTTCATTAGTTAATTTTGTTACATTAAAACTATTTTCAGGCACATGGTTTATATCATTTTTCCAACCCATGTCTCTCTCAAACTCGTCTAAATCAATATCATTGTGAGAAAGTTTCTTTATCTTCTGATTCTTCTTATTCTCAGCCTGCTTTAAGAAGTCTCTGGCAATAATCCCCAAAAGACTTGTTCCTGTAAAATATATATATAAATATCCTCAATTACAAAATAACTTTTACAGGACACATATAAGAAGATTACATCACTCATTAATACATGTTAATAGATATGAGATTATATTGTATTAAATATACAAAATTATTAAATATATTGTTCATTTTTTTAATGTAAATCTTAACCTATAAAAAATATATATCGCATAAAATGAAGTAATATTACCACTAGTATCAAATTTCTCTGGATCGTCATCGTCACTTTCTATTAATTGACTTTTGTTCCTTAAATCTAGCTGTCCTTTTGTATCGATTATTATATTCATTTTTAAAAACTAATTATCGATTCTGTATATCTTTTTACCTCGATGCCAACTTTCCATTACCTCGCATGCATCATGGTTTTTAGAAGTTTGTTGATTAATTCCACAAAAGAAGGATTTGATTGGTCGATTTACTGCAAGCCTCTACCTATCGGAAAAGTATCGTAACAACATCGATAGTTATATCGATAGTGTTAACTTACGGCGCGAATATCAAAATCACGTAATAATATATTAGATTTTCTTATTAAAGGCAGGGTGTGGTTTTAAGATTTTTCTCTCCAAAGGTGATATATTTTCTTACTTACACGAAATAAATAAAAGTATTACTATTTTTTAAAAAAATGTATTGTGCCCCTTCTACGTAGAGAAGGAAGATACACAGGTTAGAACGAAATGTTCTT